TGAACACTCACCTAGTAATGTCGTACACCAGCAGGGCCCCGGCTGCACCGCGGTAGTAGCTCCGAGTCACCGACCTAGAGGGCGAGGAGAGAGACTCAGAGCGATCAGTGGGGCCAGGAGCTCGCTGGGAGCCGCGGGGGCCATTTCGGGAACAGCCCCGTGGGAAAGGGGCAGGGGGGAAGGCGTCGAGCTGCTGGGTAACGGAGGAGCTGAAGGGACAAGCATGGCACGAGGTGGGTTTCTAGCGGCCACCCCCGGCTGGAGCCAGTGCCCCGCCAGCCCCTCACCCCAGGGACGGAGCAGAGGGGAAGGTTCTGTGTTCCATTCCCCACCCCGCTGAGACCAGACGGCCCCCACCCGGGGCGGATCGAGGCCAGCGTCCTAGCGGGGAAAGGCCCCACACCCCAAGACCAATGGAAAGGAGGGCGTGTCTTTGCGCTGCCCTTGGGGGTGGGTCCCCGATCAGAGACGCGGCCACGCGGCCATCGTCCACACCTCTCAAGCTCTGGGGAGACCCAGAGGAGCAGAGACCCTGCTGCCGCGCCCCTGGCCCCGAGCCGCAGCCCCACGAGCAAGCAGGCTCAGGGGCTGGGGGCTTTTTAAATTGCACACGGAGGCGGCTCCACAACAGGGAAAGCTACAAGCAGCCAAGCGTTAGGTGGCTGGGTGGCAGCAGGGTCTAGTGGGCAGGACACCGGGCTGGGAGTCAGGACAGCTTGGCTCAGTCCCAGCTCGGCCACTGACCTGCCACATGACCTTGGACAAGTCCCCACCCTGCCGTGCCTCGGTTTCCCCTCCCACCCTTTCTGGCTCTTGCCTGTTTGCCCCGTAACCTCTGCAGGGAAGGGACCGTGTCTCGCTGTGCAGCACCGGACACAACGAGGTCCCCAATCTCGGCTGGGGTCCGTTAAGTGCTGCCGTAATACGAGAGCAGAAATATGGTCAAGGTTCCAGGACTAAATCTAAGTACAGCATCACGCTATCTGCACACGGGCCTGTCCTGTGTTACACCGGCGTGGAGCGTTGTGCTATGCTGGTAACCACCTGCCATGTCCCGCCCCAGAGGTGGCTGCACCTCTATGGGTATGGGAAAAGCGATCCCTGTAAATTTCTGATTCCGCTTAACTCCCGCATGCAAGACCCCCCTTTGGCAGACTTCTGGGACCACGAACGCTATTTACCCCGTCTCCAGATTTAGCCTGGAAAACTGGCTGCTACGGCACCCCTTCCTTGGACCTTACTCCAGAGACATTTCAAACGCTCATTCGCTGGATAGGTGGATTTTTTTTACCTAAACCGTTCTTGTCCCGCCGTATCCCAGATCTGCAGTTTCACCGTTTTCCCACCGACGTTAACCACCTTCGACCCAAACTCCACTCCAATCGTGTGGTTGGAATCCTGCTTGACTGGAGAAGGGAGAGATCCCAAATCAGTGACTGACCGAGAAGGCCCCTGGCCGCTTAGGGGACAGCTCCAAGGCGGAGCCGCTCCGGAACCAGGAGCTTTCAGTCCAAGTGCTGATACCCGAGAGCCCCAGCGACCTGCAATTGCTTCAATCCGATTCCTGCGCAGACTGGAGGCTCCAGGTGCCGCAGAGCGACGTGGCGGGGGGAGTCATTTACATTATTTTTAGGGGTTACTGAAGTGATACAATATGATCCAGCGCTGCCATGCAATCGCCCAGCCTGTGCCCAGCCCCCCGGAAGTCACGTCACCTAAACAGAAAGCCATGAACACGACCGCACCCCACTGCGGCAGCTTCAAAATCGAACGCAGGCAGCGGTCATAACCCAGCACAAATCTGCTCACATGGGGAGTCAAGCCCGCTAAAGAAGCAGCAGGGATGATGTGTCAACAGTGTGTGTGTGTGTGTGTGTGTGTGTCCTTTTCATTTCCTTGGCACAGTTAACCTAGTACACAACAGCGTGTGAAAGTCAAGCGCCCGGCGGATTCTTTACTAACATGGGACGCCCCTTTGGGATACAATTTTGTAATTTGCTGAACACATGGAGGAAGCTAGAGCTGTGCAAAGACATTTGCAATGAAAACCACAAAGCAGGAGGGGTTTCACATTGGATTTCTGGTTAGTCTAGTGGAGCCGTCTCAGTTTTCCCATTTAAAAGAAGAAGGTGGTTTTCAAGAAGGCTGAAGTTTTAAAATGTCCTGATAAAAAAAATCTCCACCACATGTTTGGAGGTGAAAACTCCCACTCTTTCGCCAGTTTCTTTTGTAAAGGTAAGTTCTGGAGCCGACGGACAGACCGGAAGGCAAATTCAATTGTCTTTCTGGCAACAACTGTGCAGGGGAATCTTTCCCTTCGGATGAGTCCGGGGGGTCTCAGGTATTCGGAAACACACCGGAGCAGAACAGAAATCAGTTCAATAAACAGCACTGGCCACAGGTACAGGGCTACTCACATTTATTCTCTATAAACTGGTGCAGGAGACAGGACTTCCCAGTACCAGCACTTCCTATCACCAGGAACTTGAAGAGGAAATCTGAAGAACGAAATAAGCACGGTTGTAACACTCGAGCGTGGGGCAGGGGGAAGGGGCAGCACTTTCTGTTTAAGGGGTTCTGGGGAGGTTTACGAAAAGCAAAGCATCTTCTCAACCAGTCTTTAGAAACGTGCCCGGAGAAACATTACAAGCAGCGCTCGCCTGCATCCAACTCCCCGTGTCACCTCATTTCCCTGCGCCTCAGTAAAAGGGTTAGTGACACTTCCTTTGGCCCATCTGTGTCTCGTTAGACTAAGCACGCCGAGGCAGGGACAGTCTCATCCTAGGTGTACGTACAGCACCCGGCGCAATGGGGGCCTGATCCCAGCTTGGCGTCTTTTGGCACCGCTGTTAACTTACTAAAGCATTATTTGCCCCCCATTCGGCGTTAGCCAGCTCCCTTCTGCTCACAGCGGGGCACGGCTACCCGATCAGCACGCTGCGGCCTCACCAGGTATGACGACGCAGGAGCAGAGACAGGACCCCGCTCAGCCCGGAGAGAGGCCCCCAGGGGTTAAGGGCTTGAGCCTGCCAGGTATTAAACTAGGCCCCGGCCCCACGCCAGTACAGAGCGTGTGAGGTCACAGGTTCAAATCCCCTCCGAGTCTTACTGGCAGGAGGTGAGGTTATTACAGAATTAGGTGGCGTTCACAGGAGGCCAGTCGGAACAATCAAGGGCCTGGACCAACAGTCCTGTGAAGGCAGTGGGACCGGTTACCTCAGAAAGGAGACGAGCGCGGGGGGCGTGATAAAATGGCCGGTCTAGAGAAGGGAGACCGGGAGCTCCCGTTCGCCTTGGCTGGCAGCTCAAGCACAACGGGACTCCAATGACATTCAACGGTGGGAAATGCACAGCTGGCCAAAGGACAGACTTTGCCCACACACCGTGGTCAGACTGGGGAACTCACTGCCACATGAAGTTGCTGAGGCCAAGAACTTAGGAAGATACAGGAAGGGCCTGGACATTTATGTGCATAACAAGAAGAGCCAGAGTCGTCCTAGTTAATGAACAGTTTGAGAAGCGTCATTAACCCTCCTCCTACCCCAGGGCTTAAGCAAGCGAACTATTAGAAACCAGCCTGGGACAGAACATGGGCGCAGCTTATCCCCTGCCTGCTGCGGTCCTTGAAGCACCCAGCACCAACCACGGTGCGAGCCAGAACACAGGCCGAGACAGGCCTGGGGGCTGCTCCAGCCGGCAGATCCTCCGTAAGCACCGGCTTTGCCCAGCACCGGGGGTTGGGATCCAGGCCCTCGGCCTTTGCCCAGGGCGAACTGCAGTGCGCAAAGACCTCAGGGGCAGTTTTCACCACGCTCAGAAGGGAAGGCCAGAAACAACACACGAGTTCGAATGAGACCAATGGATTTCCCAGAGTGCTCCGCGTCGTCCGCCCTCCCGCAGGCGGGCACTGGACAGAACCGGACCGTATTCCCCCCACCCCGAAAGCCTCCAAGGAGATCTCTTGGGCTGAAGTCCCATACGCTCCCCCCAGCCAGAGCCAGGTCCTTCCGGCTGCGGCGCGATCTCCGGCTCGGATTCTAACCTGCCCCCGGTGGCCCGACGGTAAAGCCTAGAGACCCCCTTCTGCAGGGTGCCCCCCACACAGAGAAAAGCCTTATCTCCATGCAAAAGCCACGCCCCTTTACCTATGCCAGCCTGGTGATGGGGGATCACTCCTAGCGTGGGCCCAGTCACCCCGGCGGGACGTGCGCCGCACGGGAAGGGGAACGAACTGCCCCGGTAGCTTGAAGGGAGAACTGGCACCTCTACCACAGCGGCAATCCCCATAGCTGCACTCAAGCTCACGCTGCCGGTCGGTTCTCCCGGCGGCCTGGGTAACCCAGAGGCGGTAGCTAGGTCGACAGCAATTCTAGCCCTGACTGCACGGGGCTCAGGTCCGCTTAACTCTGTCTCTCAGGGGGTGGATTTTTCACACGATGCCGATGTACGCGCCCAGCTCGCAGACTCCCATGGGTGGAAGCTGTTTTTAAGTCCCACTCACTGGCGCTTTGTTTATGAATCTAACGTCGTCTTTCATTTTAACAGAGGCACGTTTGGAAGAATTTGCAAGCAAGAGTCATCGCATCGAAGCCCACATCAATGCTACTCGACTGGTGGGTCGCAACCGAAGGCAGCCGGGGGGCATAAGGCATTGACAATTCTGGTCCAATCTAAAGCCACAAAACCCTCTCTCCACCCATCCCCACACCCCCTTCCCCTTCCAGGGCAAGTCTTCGCCCTCAGAATAACAGAGACTTATTCTCATCAATAGTTTTTTGGCGTCAGATGAGGGGTTGCCAAGCAGAGCAGGCTCCATACGATACACGGAGCATTCCCTGCTCCCGCGCCAAATTACCACCTGCCCAGGTATTCACCCCATCCGGATCTGGGGACAGCAATTTTACTCCTCACCTGGGTAACCGCTCCATTAAGAACACACTGGGGGGGGGAGGCATCGGTCCACGTATGGCCCCATGACTGTGGTATCCGAGCACCTCAATCTTTACCACTCGCCCATTGGCGGGAAAGCATTTTACAGATGGGGAAACTGAGGCAGGGGCTCACTCAGGGTCACAGAAGGCGTCCGCGTCGCTCCCTCTTGTCACCGTTCCCAAGTCAGGCTGTTTGTTTACTCTCGGCCGGGCGGTTTCATGCCCCATTCCCTCTCTGGCATAGGAGCGCTGGGCACGGCCACGTCAGCTCTGACCAGCCTCCAGCCAAGCCTATCACCTGTGTCCACAAAGGCCAGCTCGGGACAGCTCAGAGGAAGGTGCAAGAAACCCCGCAGGGAACAACGATGGAATAACGTACGCACCGGGGGGGAGGGGGGAGGGGAGGAGATGCTCTTTGAAATGCCCTGATTTACAATCCTCTCCCTGCAGATGCTACCGAGGGCACAGGACCCCACTTGTGGGGCAGGAGACAGTGGTGGTAGGCACCGTACCACGTAGGCCAAGAGCCAACAGGCAGATACAGCCAGGGGAAGGTATCGGGATGAGCCGTGGTCTCATCTACCTTACCCGGATAAATGTCTCGTCTTCGGCAGAACCTCGCTGTGTTTGAATCACAAAACGCCCTCACGATGAAAGCAGAAGTGTTCTCCCTGCTTCCCCTTCACTAGTTCAGAGACTCCACGGCCAGAAGGAACCACAGAACCATGGGACTAGAAGGGATCTCGGGAAGTCACCTAGGCCTGTCCCCCGCTCTGAGGCCGGGCTAAGTAATCTCGCCTGACCCGGGCCACAGCACTTCCCTGCAGCAATAATTCCTCTTTGAACCAGAGCAGATCCCAGCGTGATTTTAAAATGGCCAGTGATGGAGAATCCTAAGCTAAAAATCAATGCTAGCTTTGAGAGAAAGGCTTCTCCCATTAAGCAAAACCATCTCCCTTCAATGATTTAGGTCCCATTATTATCTTGTTTACAAGGGAAATATTTGGGATGCTGCTTTCCCAGAAAGAAAAGCCTCAAGCACTGGGGGCTCTCTCTCGAGCTTAAAACCCCAGGACTACGCCTCAAAGACAAACCTGGGCCCAGCAAACAGAAAGCCTTTGCCAGGTTTAAAGGGAGCTCGGTTATCTTGATATCTAGGCTATGAGCGAGTTCAAAGTCGTCCGAGCCATTGCACCTGCCTCTCTGCCAACTGCGGTCTTATGATCACATTTTTCACGTGGCGCCGTCCGTGCTCGTGCGGAACACAACACAAACACAAGCGCAGGTACCGAGGAAACCGGGCAAACAGTGAAACTGACGCTATGCACAGTGCTGACCCAGGCACAAAGAAAAACAAGTGAAAAGAGATTCCCCTGCTCTCCCCGTGACGAACAGCCAGCAGGATTTCCAACAAAGGCGGTTTGAACCAAACTCTTCATCCTCTTGAAGTGCCCAGTAGCAAAGGTCGGCCTGTCGTGTTGGCTGGGGGAAGGGGGCGTGATTTTCTATTATTTTACTGGCCGAGTGACACCAGGCCAAGCCCCAGTGTGGACGCTAGTTCGCTCTCCCGGTACAGCTAAACACGGCCAGTTGTCTGTACAGACAAGGCCTCAAGGCTTTATCTGGAATGCTAGCAGCAGCCTGCCGACTCCCATGCGGCCTGGGCTGTACTGAAAGGTGACGTCCCCAGGCCTTCCTCCAAAGCATCTTAACCCACGTTAGCCCAATTCAGAGCCAGAGGCTTCGCGGGGAAGAAGAACGCCCGCCCGCACGGGGCGTTACGGAGCGAGAACCCCCCATGCAGACAACCCGAGGAAGTGGAATTGTCGGGCTTTCCGCACGGGCGGAGGAGGTGGAAAAGTCACGTCTCTGTTCCTCAGTTAGCGCCCAGCCCTGCTGTCCCACAGCACCCCCGGGTGCACACAGGGCCCCTGAAACGCGGTGCCTGGAGCGGAGAAGAAAAGACCTCCCATTGGCTCAGCCTGTGCGCCATGTCCCCACCGGGGAAGGACGAATCCGTCCCATGAGGGTTTGAACCTGGGACGCGCAGGGCTTGTTTGTTTACTGGGCGAGGGGGAAAGAGTTCCAATCCGAATGGTTAAAATGCCGAGACACCCCCCATGTACCACCCCTAATTTCAGCTCATGCAAGCCGCAGAGGGCAGTGGGCAGACCACGGGCAGGCTCCCCCGGGGCAGAAATCTGCCGCCCCTCGTCTGTCCCCCGCCCCCCACATTTGGGGTACGCACTTCATCTCCTTCCATTGTTAAGCGCCTGGCTCTGGGATCTGGCACAGGAAGTGGTTTCCAGTAACGCGCAGGCCCTGCTGGGGCCCG